ACATCTGAAATCAGTTTTTCAGGCCTACCATCATCCTAAAAAGACCCAGATTTCAGGTCTGCTTAGGGAAATTCTGCAAACATAATGGCACAGAAAAGTTGAAAATAAAAAGTTAAGAGTAAAGGGATGGTAAAAGATCTAAGATCTACCATGCTGGTAGTAATCAATAAAATTGTAGTGACAGCATTGCTATCAGAAAAAGTGTATTTCAGAGCAAAAAGTATCAGCAGGCATCAAGAAAGTAATTTTATAATGGTAAGTGGGTAAATTTATCAAGAGGGCATAACAATCTTTACATGCTCATTTGCCTAATAAAGGAACTTCAGAATACCCAAAGCAAAAGGTAAAGAACTGCAGGGAGAAATAAGCAAACTCACAATTATAGTTAGAGATCCATTATACTCCCCCCTCAATACTTTATGGAACAAGTAGGCAGAAAATCAGAAAGGATATAGTAGACTTGAACAACACTACCAAGCAACTTGACCTAATTGGTGATTATGGAACACACTCTACCCAAGAACAGCAGAATATTTCTTCTTTTTAAGTGAACATGGAACATTCACCAAAACAGAACATATTCTGGACCATAAAACAAGTCTCAATAAATTCACAAGCATTCAAGTCATACAAAGTATGTTTTTTGACCACATGCTATTAAATTAGAAATCAAGAACAGAAAGATCCCTAGGAAATCCCCAAATATTTGGAAACTAAGTATATAGCTTTAATTTTACTATGACCTTGGGCAGGGAGGTCTTAGGTGTACATTGGCTAACTGGCATACAAGAAAGAAAAGCTACAAAAATGTTTTCCAGTGGAGCAGAAATACAATTAATAATTACATAAGAGTTAAGTTTAGGGTTAAGGGAGAGCAGTCCTTTGGGGCTAATGATGAGCATATTTATTGCGCTCTCGTGTGGATCCATTCTTTCTATTCCCAGGTTCACAGTCACCTTATTATTCTTCTGGATAGAAGCTCTTGGAGATGCTACTAACTTCGCAAATACATTAATGGGTCTACCTGGGGCCAATTATTCTTACTTCCTCAGCTGCCTCCTAAACTCTCATCACTGAACACATCATCCTCCCCAGCTGTGAGCTGCTAGGCTGCCCAGGGGAAGGGATGTCTCTCCCCACCCTTGAGGATCAGTTGAGAGGATGTCTTGGGGAATGGGGGCTGTTTTCTTCCATCACCACGTGAGAGGTTGAAGTCAGTAGCAGTCTCTGATTTCCACATTCAGTCTACATCCAGGTTCATTACTTGCTTTAAATCCACTCTCTCGGGGCGCCCGGGTGGCTCAGTCGGTTAAGCCTCTGCCTTCAGCTCAGGTCATGATCTCAGGGTCCTGGGATAAAGTCCCACATCCGGCTCCCTGCTCAGTGGAGAGCCTGCTTCTCCCTCTCCCTCTGCACCTCCCCTGCTCATGCTCTCTCTCTCTCTCTCTCTCTCTCTCTGTATCTCTCTGTCTCAAATGAATAAATTTTAAAAATCTTAAAAAAGAAATCCACTCTCTCTCTTCCCCTCCACTTTCCCCTCTCATCTCTCTTCTCCAATCTGCACTCAATTCAGAATGAGTCTCTTTGGGTCAATGGACCCAAAGAGTCCGGCTTTGTTTTTATTGTTTTTCTACTGAAGGCTTGTGTTCTGATTCCCAGAGTAAGAGCTTTGCCATCAAGTCATATGCTTTACTAGAAATAAATGATTTGTTTAAGAACATGTCAAGCAACTTTGAAGGAGGAAGTTCTCTGGTGTTTGATTATCACGAGGTAATATTCAGATTTCTGGAAATTGTTGACCACTGATACACATTCGGGAAGGAAGAGAATAGCCCGGACAACCATCCTACTCACGGGCTGATTTTCCAGGACATGGAGAATTCCAGCAGTTTAGAAAAGGATGTTTATATGTGGCTCAGGAAGATCTGTCTGCTCCTGCAGGTACCCCATGGTTTAGTGTTTCTCAAAGTGTGGTTCAGAGATCCCCTGTTTCAGAATCACTGGATTTGGGGGCCCAGCTATAGACCTACTTGATCAAATTTTCTGAGGTTGGGACCCAGAATCTGCACATTTAACAAGCTTCTCCGGTGAACCTTGGGCAGGGCACCTTAATGCTTGAGAACCATTGTTTGGGGTCACTATTGCTCAAGACACACTAGCTGTTTCCTTGGCTGCCTTCTCTCTACCTGCGCTCCCAGTCCGCTGTCCCTGGGAGGAGGGCGAGGAGGCAGCTGTAAATAAAGCCCCTTGCCTAGTCCACCCTCACAAACAGGACCCCAGGCATCGGTAATCACTCCTAGACACTCTCCTCCCCAATCCATTTCCATGTGAAAAGACCACCCTTAAGTTTTCTTCCTAGTTTTCATTTACGGGTACAAACTGTAGCCAACAGAAATAGTGGTTATTCCAGCGTCCTTTGAAAAACTGACAGAGATGTCAGTTTCTTCACCATCCCTTGCTTGGCTTACTCTATATTCTGAATAATTCTGAATTGAGTGCAGATTGGAGAAGAGAGGGGTAAGTGGAGGGGAAGAGAGAGAGTGGATTTTTTTTTTTAAGATTTTTAAAATTTTTTCATTTGAGACAGAGAGATACAGAAAGAGAGAGAGAGCATGAGCGGGGGAGGGGCAGAGGGAGAAGCAGGCTCCCCACTGAGCAGGGAGCCCGATGCGGGGCTCGATCCCAGGACCCTGGGATCATGACCTGAGCCGAAGGCAGAGGCTTAACCGACTGAGCCACCCGGGCGCCCCGAGAGAGTGGATTTAAAGCAAGTAATGAACCTGGAGCCTCCGATCAGCGACCTGCTGTATTCCCACCACCCTATCCTGCCCCATCCCACCTCCCCACCTCATCTACGGAATCCTGACCATTGACCACGTTCCCACTTTTCTCAGCTGTTGTCCACTCTTTTCATGAGAGAGACACCTGCAGGCCAGTTACCTACACTGAAATAGACTATGGAGGGAAGATGTGAAGTTGGGTCTCAAGAAGTCCTATTTCGCTCTTCACAGCCATTTCTCAGCTTACTTGAAGTTCCTGTAAGTTATTCCATCCTGGGATTTTTATAGTCATTTCTCTGAAGGTCTTGTAATTTGCTTTGAAGTTGGGTTGGCTTTTGAAACCAATGGAGCCAGCCACATTTGCAACCCAAATCTAGGGCTGCCCACACTCCTACAATAATGGGGTTTATTATAAACTAGCAGCTATTAGTTTAAGAATGGCTGAATGGGGGCACCTGGGTGTCTCAGTCGGTTAAGCATCCAACTCTTGATTTTTGGCTCAGGTCATGATCTCAGGATCATGAGATCGAGCCCCACATTGGGCTCTGCGCCTAGTGCTCAGTGCAGTGTCTGCTTGGGATCCTCTCCGGCTCCCTCTGTCCCTCCCACTGCGCTCATAAATGCTCTCTCTCCCCCTCCTTCAAATAAATAAATAAATAAATAAATAAATAAATAATTTAATTAATTAAAAAAGAATGGCTGAATGTTACATCTCAGTGACATCAAATAAATCACAGAGTTATGCTTCATGTGCTTTAAAAGAAGTTACCAAGGCTCTGTGTTCAAATTTGCCCTCTTATATTTTGAGTGTCTCAACTTTAGTGGGGCGTGTGACCTCTTCGGGCATTACAATGCTTTCTGCTTGTCACCATTCACAGTGCTCTAGCAATAGCCATAGTGCCTTCATTACCTACTTGACAGTCGAGTTTAGTTATCCATATATTTAGAGTCTTCTCCTGCCCTGGTAGTTTGATGATTCTGGAAACTCTGCCAGTGGGATAAATCAGAAACTTTGCTCAATCCAGCTCTCCTCTCCCAAATCCTCCCAACATCATCCACAGCTGTGTCATTCACTTACACTCCTGCCCTGAGGAGCTCCTTGAGGAGCTTCCATCCTACCCAATCACATCTGCTGGCTTCAGAGTCTTGGCAGCTGAGGGTCCTCACCAAAGAGCATGGAGTGCTTAACTGACTCCAGAACCCAGAGGTAATTCAGAAACATGGGCAGCACAGCAGCCAATGAAGTGGAAAAGAGTATGGTGTTTAGGTGGTGCAACCATGGCCTTGTTCATTCTCTGAATAGGAAAGGCATTTACAAAGCCCTGGGGAGGAGCTATTCCTTCCCCTCTGGCCCCAATGGCCTTCGAGTTCAGGGTAAACCTATTCCTTGGAAATGATTCGAGACTCTGCAAAGGATGCTTCCAAGAACAAGGTCTCGGTTTGCTCTTCATGGCCCTACACCATCCCCATCTCTCCACATCCCCAACCCTCATCACTGTTAGAACTCACAGTAGTGCTTAACTTGTGCCAAGTTCAGAGGCCATTTTAGAGCTGAGCCAATAAATCGCCTTCAGCTCCTCTAGAACATTCCTCTGAAGGTCTCTTCAGTCACGCTTGCTCAGCCTACATGTCTCTGTCTGTGTTGTTTGGTGGTGGGTTGCTTGCCAAATTTTGTCATTGTTTCCTTTTATTGATCATATTTAGTTATGCACTAGGTCTGTCTCTCCAATGAGAATAATCAAAGCTAACATTCTTTGAACTTTCTTAACACGCCAGGCTTTGTTCAAGTGCTTTATGTGGATTAACTCATTGAATTATTATAACAATCTTTTGAGATTAGTGCTATTATCCCTATTGTACAGATGAGAAAACTGAAACTCAGAGAGGTTAAATAAATTCCCAAGTTTCCACAGCTAGTTAGTGGTGAGGTCCCAGCTTGGAGCCCTGGCAGTCTGATGCCAGGGCCTGTGTGCTTTAACATAAAATGTACTATCCCTAGAATGTAAGCTTCCTAAAGACAGACACTCGAATTTCTGACAGGAAGAACACAGAGCTCAGCATATGGAAGGCTATCAACAAATATTTCGTAACTGTTTCATTATTTAGAACTTCTTAAGTTTGCATAGAGACCAAATTGTATACATTTCTTTTCTGTGTTCCACTACTACTCTAATAATGCTTACAAACTAACCAAACAACCAAGTAGAGAAGACCTTCTCTATGAAAGAGTTCTACCTACAGAGGACCTCCGCAGTGAGACCAATCTTCAGACGGCTGCCCTTGGCTAAAGCAGAACCAAATCCAGTGAGAGCCTCTGGGTGTTCCCCCTCATTTTGGGTGGTACCCTCGTTCTGCACACCAGGGCACTGGAGAAATATGGAAGGGGCAAATCTGAGCCAAGAGATTGAGTTTGAGCTCTTGGGCCTCACCAGTGACCCCCAGCTCCAGAAGCTGCTCTTCACCATGTTCCTGGGCATGTACACCATCACTGTGCTGGGGAACCTAATCATGTTCCTTCTGATCCGCATGAGTGCCACTCTGCACACACGCATGTACTCCCTCCTGAAGAACCTCTCCTTGGACTGCTGCTACTCCTCCACAGTTGTCCCGCAGACCCTGGTGAACTTCTTGGCCAAGAAGAAAGTGATCTCCTATTTTGGCTGCATGGCCCAGTTATTCTTCTATGCAGGTTTCACCACCAGTGAATGTATCTCATTGCCGCCATGGCCTTTGACTGCTCTGCCACCATTTGTAACCCCCTGCTCTTCCCACTCACTGTGTCTCCTGAGATCTGTGTCTCTTTGATTGTGGGCTCCTATGGTGCAGGATTTCTCAATTCCCTTATCCACACAAGCTGTATCCTTAGTCTGAAATTCTGTGGTGCTCATGTGGTCACTCACTTTTTCTGTGATGGACCACCTATCTTGTCTCTCTCTTGTGTGGACACCTCGATGTGTGAGATCCTGCTCTTCATTTTTGCTGGTTTCAACCTTTTGAGCTGCACCCTTACCATCTTGGTCTCCTACCTCTTAATCCTCATTTCCTTCCTGAGAATGAACTCAGTCCAGTGCAGGTTCAAGGCCTTTTCCACCTGTGCTTCCCACCTCACTGCTGTCTGCCTCTTCTATGGCACAACACTTTTTATATACCTGTGCCCCAGGTCCAGCTACTCATTGACCCAAGACCGCACAGTTGCTGTGATCTACACAGTGGTAATCCCAATGCTGAACCCCCTTATGTACTCCTTGAGAAACAAGGATGCGAAGGATGATTTAAGAAAGGTTTAGGGCAGGAAAATAATGGAATGATCCTCTCAACCCATTACCACATATCTTTAGAAAGCCAAAGGAGGGGCGCCTGGGTGGCTCAGTCGTTTAAGTGTCTGCTTTCGGCTCAGATCATGATCCCAGAGTCCTAGGAATGAGTCCCTGTGTTGGGCTCCCTGCTCAGCAGGGAGTCTGCTTCTCCCTCTCCCTCGGCCAGCCCCTCTCTCCCCCCACCTCAAATAAGTGCCCTCTCTCTCTCAAATAAATAAATAAAATCAAAAGAAAGAAAGAAAGAAGAAAGAAAAAGAAAAAGAAAGAAAGAAAAAGAAAGAAAGAAAGAAAGAAAGAAAGAAAGAA